CGCCCCCCCCGGACTCCTGGGCCCTTCCGCCCTTCTCCTCCTCCCCAGGAGCGCCCGGACGCCGGGGCCCCTCCCGCTCCCGGGCGGCGCAGACAAGGAGGCGACTCCAGACCGGGGGGTTTTGGGTCCTTTTCTTTGTTTTGGTTCTTTTTTTTGGGGGGGGGGCGGGGAGGGGAACGAGGGGCTCCCCATTCGCCGCCCCCCGGCAGAGCCCATCACCCCCCCAAGCGCCACCATCATCATCATCGTCGCCGCCGCGTCCCGGCGGGCGCCCGAGCGCGGCGCCGGCGCCTCTACGTCCGCGACAGGCCCCGGTTGTCCAGGTCCTTGACCTGCAGAGGAGGAGGAGGAAGAGGATGAGGATGAGGATGAGGAGGAAGAGGATGAGGATGATGATGAGGAGGACGAGGAGGAGGAGGAGGAGGAGGAGGAAGGCGCCACCTTGTAGATGCGCACGAGCCAGTGCTCCGTGGTGTAGGCCTCCTCCAGCACGTCCAGCTCGAAGTCCTTGTTGCCGATCTCGGCGTTGCGCACGCGGTCGTAGCCCGGCGGCCGCTCTGCACCGCGACGGGGACACCGCAGTGCCACCGTCCCCGCGGCGCCACCGTGCCCGCGGCGCCACCGTCCCCGCGTCCCCCCCCAGGCACTCACTGGCCTCGGTGTAGACCTGCCCGAAGCGGTAGTAGCACATCTTGTACATGAGGCAGTTGAGCAGCACGGGCGAGCCGTCGCGGTCCACGCGGAACTCGCCGGCCGCCGTGTAGTAGTCGTGCTCGCGGATGTGGCGGCCCGTGGCCGTGCTGCCGCCGATGCGCACCATCCACAGGAACTTGTTGATGTCTGCGGGCCGAGCGGGCGCTCAGCGGCGCCGCGGGCACCGGCACCGGCACCGGCACCGGCGCGGAGCGCTCACCGTCCGACGAGTAGCCCGTGAGGCCGCCGAAGATGACGAGCACGTAGCTGACGTCCAGCTCCCGCATGATCTCGTAGGCCTTCTCCTCGGTGGAGGCCATGGCCTGGCCGGGGGGGTGCGTTTTGGCACGGCGGGGTGCGTTTTGGCACGGGGGGCGCGCGCGTCGGCGCCGGCACCCACCTGCCCCACGCGGGAGATGTGCGTGTTGTTCCASGTGTTGTTGTCCACCAGGATGGTGCGGTTGGCCATGGCCGTGATCTGGTAGCCGTAGTCCCACCACGACATGACCTTGGCGTCCTGCGGGGCGCACAGAGCTCGGTGGGGTGTGTGGGGCTCAATGTAGGGCACGGGGGGCTCAGCAGGCCACACAGGGCTCAGTGGGGCACATGGGGCTCMGTGGAGCTCACCAGGGTTCAGTGGGGCACAGAGGGGCTCAGTGGGGTGAGTGGGGCTCAGTGAGGTGCAGTGGGGTGTGCGGGGCTCAGTGGGGCACACAGGACTCAGGGCGGCTCAGTGGGGCTCAGCAGGGTTCAGTGGCACTCAGTGGGGTGCGTGGGGCTCAATGGGGTGCGTGGGGCACAGCAGGGTGTGTGGGGCTCAGCAGGGTGCGTGAAGCCCAGTGGGGCTCAGGGAGGTGCAGTGGGGCACATGGGGCTCTATGGGGCTCAGCGGGGCACACGGGGCTCAATGGGGCTCAGTGGGGCACGTAGGGCACATGGGGCTCAATGGGGCTCCGTGGGGCTCCGTGGGGCTCGCCTCGGGCGTGTTGTGCCGCAGCCAGTAGTAGGCCTCGCGGAAGTCGTCGAAGATGATGCGGCTGCCGTCGCCGCCGCGCGCCGACAGCACGATGGAGGGCGACGAGTACGCCTCGCTCGTCACCCACGTCGAGTGGAACGTGTACGTGATGAGGAAGAAGGCCATGACGAGGATCATGCCGCTCGCCACCTGCGGCGGCACCCGGGGGTGTCAGCGGGGCGCCCGGCGGCGCCCCGGGGTCCCCCGCGCCGCGCGCGCCCCCCTCGCCTCGTTCTTGATGGGGTACGTGGCGTCCTGCTGCTTCTTGGCGCGCTTCTCCGGGCGGCTCACGTCCAGGTTGCGCATGTAGGTGGAGAGCACCTGGGAGACGCCGATGCCCGACAGGATGCACATGACGGGCGCCAGCACCAGCATGAGCCGCACCTGCGCCGGGAGACGCCGTGAGCCGGGCGCCCCGAGGGACCCCGGGGAACAGGGGAG